GCAAAGAGAAGCAAAATAGCAAATTGACAACATACAAAAAGTCTTGGGGGCGTCTCAGATTAACATAACTTAAGAACTGTAGTTCTATTACGAATTGAGTAATTAAATTGAAAAAAAGTTGATAGTTTGCTCATGATAAGCTGGTTTAGCTGGTTTAAGCTGCTTGCAAGCGAAACAATAGTCGCATCATGTTTTAGAATTGCACCTAATATACATATGACTACAGGAAACGTAGATTCGAAAAATATGAAAAAGCTCAGGTGAAGAAAAGTATCGGACAAAAATCCTCCGTTAAAAATAACATTGTTTAAATAAATCGGCTGATTTTTGCACAATTTTAATTCTTGGCTTAAAGTTGAAAATTTTCACCCAAAAGTAAAATTGACTACACTCCATTAAACAATAGTATCTTCTAATAGAGAAAAAGAAACGAATTAAAAGTTTCACAATCTATAGAAGACATTTTAGTCTGAAGATGCTGAAAGTCATTAAAATCGCATCACTGGCCTACAAATGAACATTTTCACGCAACGTCAAACTCTCGAATAAACTTGTATACATTCTAATATAGAACAAACCCCAACTGGGAATCAATTTACACTTAACAATTTCAATTTTATTTCCAGAAAACAAAATCCATAGGAATCCAGGTGGGTCTTGAACTGAAAAATAAGGAAATCTGCACTCAAACATCCAATGAGCAACCGGATAAAACGTATCAGAGAAAGCAAGTACAGCGCAAACTGTTTCAACCAAATATCTGTTCATTTTTTTTAGTATCAGTGGGATATTTGAACGTCTGAAAAAGGAACTGGAAGAACTACACGAACACATTGAAAAGCAACAAATAAAATTGTGAGAAAATAAACAACACACTGCAAGCACCCAAATATATTTAGCAAATATCGTGTGTTGTATAATATGTACAACAAAATTAAAGAATTTTCGAATTAGCTCCTAAACTATATTAATAAACTTGTAAATCTTAATAGCAGCACAAATTGCACAAGAAATTGGCACTTGGTGAATAATATTTTAGTCATTTGAACATCGTTTGTATAATTACTGGCTACTTAAAACGAGCAGTAAGATACGAGTGGGCATAGTCATAAATGACCAACATAATAGCACCTCCTGGTCCTAGTCTCATTACCTTTGGCACAAGACCTTTATATAAGGCCAAATATCTGAAATGGAAACCACAGTTAAAAGCCAGTGTATATAGCGAGAAGCATAAAAAGTCCCACTTGATTACTGAACTTCAATAATCCACAACTAATAAGCAACTAAACAGAATCAAAGTAAGTGGAACAAAGATGCCTTTAGGTAAGGATTAAAACAAATACATATAAAAAATAAATTTGTCTCATTTTTTAAGGAATTTAAATACAATCCTGAACTTTTGCACTGGTTGGCAAAAAAAGTAATTTGAATCATGACTTACCCTTCTTCCTTATACACAATACCCAAACTGCGAAGAGTTCCTCGATATTTGATTACGCCAGTAACAGGTTGTGGCCCTTGAATTCTCGACTTAGCAACATCAAACGGTATGTTGATGCAAGAAGCTAATGTTCCAGATACGAATCCAATGGCCACTTTCCTGAAGAATTCCTGCAGCGGATCCTGAAAAAAATGCGGGTTCTACGATTCACAACTTATTGAAATCGCACCGAGTCTTGATTTTTGCCGGCTTTGCAGATATTATTCTACAAATTATTGTTTTTGCGCAAATGCACTCTCAAGAAAAAATCGTAACTTCTAAGATATGCCAAGAAGCAACCCGCAATTTTTACAGTCTATAGAAGTCTATTGAGTCTGAAGATCTAGATAAGTTCTTTTAAATCGCACCACATTCTGATTTTTGCGCGTTCTGTAAATGTTGGTCTCCAAATGAATGGCTTCACGCAACTACCGGCACTCCAGTAAAAAAACTGTAATTTCTAAAGGAGAGCAAGTAGCGAATTGGAATTTTTACGGTCTATAGAAAACACTTGAGTGCAAACATAACAAATCATTCATTCAAATCGCGCTAAACTCTCATTTTTTAATCGCTCTATTAAAATTGTGAATGTGAATGTTTTCAAGCAACTGCAGACTTTCCAGTAAAAAATCGTCACTTTTAATTTTTCAGCAGTTAGTGACTTGCAAATTTTATAGTCTATAGAAAACACTTGCGTCTTCAACATTCATTCAAATCGCGCTAAATTCTCATTTTTGAGCGCTGAATTAACATTGTGAATGCTTTCTAGCAATTGCAGGCTCTCCAGTAAAAAGATCGCAACTTCTAATGTAAAGCAAGTAGCGATTTGCAATTGCTATGGTTTATAGAAGACACTTGGTTCAAAAGATATGAAGGAAATAATTAAAATTGAAAAACATCCTAATTTTTGAGCGTGCTGTGAACGCTGATCTACAGATGAACATTTTTATGCAACTGCAGATGAAGTAGCAATTTGGAATTTGTATAGTCACTAGAGAACACCGGATTTTAAAAACCTTCGAAATTTTATTCAAATCGTACGAAAACCCGAATTTTTGTGTGCTATGTAAATGTTGGTTTAAAAATCAACGTTTTCACGCTATTATTACACAAGTTTTCGTATAAAGTTCCTATCTTCTAATCTCGAACAAGTAGCGACTTGACATTTTTTGTAGTTAATAGAGAACACTTCGAAGTGAATTTACCATGTCAACATCCACGGATTTTTTGGATGTGCAAAATAATAAATAAATAAGAGTTCATCCAACTATACAGTAAAAAGTCCATATTTGTCTAAACATTGAAACATGGTTTTAGACTGTTAAATTAGACCAAAAATAAAATCAGCCGCATGCTATTAGTGTTTTATTAGCTGTTGATATTGGAATTAATTTAACAAAACTTGGAAAATGTTAAATAAAGCTAACAAACTCAGGTTTTATCTTGCGCAAACATGCTTCCGAAAATAAAAATTAATTCCTCTGCTAACGTAAGGCGGCAAAAACAAAATGCAGTTTGTTAAAATGCCTTTGATCAATTCATTCTTCAATGCAGGTTTACCTTGTACTCAGGCAACCATCCTTTAACTGAATGGTAAAAACCAAAATAAACCATATTAAAAACACCATTCCTCCATATAGTGGCACTCACTCCTTTAAACAAGCCTTGAAGCCCAAAACCATGTTTCGAGACAATATCTTTAGTTACTGCCCTAAACAGATTTTACGTAAATGGTTGGCATGCTCCAATCAATCGTAAATTGCTGGTTTCACAATTATTATTACCATGTACTGGGCAATTCTTTCCCAACGGCTCGGTTTGCCTGCAGAGTCACTTTGACTACCTCAAATGGATTTACTAGGATGGCTTCGGTTATTCCTGCTCCGAGACCAGCCAAAGAAAAGGTCTAAAATCGTCAGTACCTGATGTAAATGTTTTATTAACGCCAATAAATGTTACTTAACGCTTAGGATCAAAGCGAAATGGGACATTTCAACAGGATATACTTACTAAAGGTGTGGGTGTTGGTGACCCAAACAAAAAGAATTGCTTGTATTGCTCAAAAGTAAAGAACTACAATAGAAAAATCGTTATCATTTTGCCTAAGATGCAACTAGTGGGGTTTCATTACTTTCACTGCACGTTTAGGGGTTTCTGCCAGGATTGGAGGGATAATCCCTTTCCAATAAGATGTGATACCTTCATGCCTGTACATTTTCGTGAGGCAATCAAAGACTCCTGAGTAGTACTTGGGATCGTCCCTAGACACAGGTTTACCTGGTTGAATTTGCAATCTGGTCTTCACCAGGTCGAGGGGGTGCATTATGCATACCTCGATAAATCCTAATGGAAGCTGTTCTATACAATTTGACTTGAGACGATAGAAATCCTACCTGCTGAACCACCAGATCCAATTTGAATTGCCGCCTCTTTAAGCACTCTGTGCACGTCTGACATTGTGCATTAACACCGTTCTATAATAGCTGTAGGTAAATCAACTCGTTTATAAAAACCTCGATGTGGCTATGTAAATATTCCTTGTTAATAAAAATAACTTTCACATAACCACACTTTCCCTAAAGTGTTATCAATTAATTCAGTGATTTATTACCAATTACTCTGCCTTCTCTATTAACGAGAAGATTATTATTATAAATTAATATTTAAGAAAATTAATTAAGATTAAGAAAATTAATAACGTTTAGAAACTTCTTGATAAATTCCTCCGCTCAATCACACCTATATTTATATTCCAATAAAACTACTTTAACTGTTAGGAGACTGTGAGGATCCATGGTTAGTCAGCTGCACAGGCTTGCTGATGATTATTTCCTCTTCCGGTTTGGAATCTTTCAACTTTAGGGCCCGCCTCTGAAAAGTCACAGAATAACTGGTGCAAACTCACAAACCAAACTCCAAAGTTACCTTCAGCTTCTGGCATCTGCTATGCAACAATCTCATGTCTCTTTTAATGGTCAGCAGCTTCGTATGGTACTGCTTCATTTCGGTGAACACATCCTGTAACTCTGTGGATTGTTGAACTTCTGATATGCTCATGTTTTCATTGTGCAGTTGTGAAACCAGTTCTCTTTGCTTGTTTCTGCAAGAAATCATGATAGTTAACGTGTTTCTTTGTCCGGTATATCCCACAAAACTACTACTGCGTCTTTGATGTTGTATTCAACATACAGCAGGGCGTAGATAGTAAAAATCTGGGTTTTTATCATTTACTTACACTAATTCGCACAGCTGTTGTTTAGCATCTTTCAAAGGAGGCTCCAAGTAGTGCGTGAGGCCAGAAATGATCATTTCAGTTGGTTTGGAATACACATTTTCAGGCTCCAATTTAGCAAGGCTGGAAATAGGCACATTTCAGAACCATAACTAAATAACTGCATATTAAAAATAAGCAGGTGATTCTTTTGCAAAACATGAACAAGAAAAAAGTAGAAGAAACTCACGGTATGCTTGTAAAATCTGCATTCAACATCGCTATAATTACTAAACAAAATTAAACGAATTAAAAAAAAAACAACAATGATTGAACTTCCACTCAAAAGTTTTTTGAGGTTATGCTTCGACCGAAGGATCAACTTGATTTGATCCGCTGTTGTCGGCTGGGATAAAAAAGTTCAAAATCTAGAACTTGTTGTCTGCTAAATCGTTAATTTGTCGTCGACTATTTTCGAAAGTATTCTTATTTGAAGTTGGAATTGTATTTAAGCTAAAAATATACCGAAAACGTGTTCAGTTAACTCATGCAAGTGGAAAACCTGACAGCAGCGCTACTGAAAAAAGAGTGAAGAGAGAAGAGAAACAAGGTTGTCACCTAACGCACTTAACCTTCAAACGTCCATAACCACAGTCCATCACAGATTACAGAGTATAGATTGGAAAGTTTTGCTTTCCCGCCAAAATGATTTTGCTAAATGCAACCACTGAGAGGCGTCGTCCAAAAATCCAGAGGATCATCTG